TCCTAACATTCATTTCTGGTTCCGCCCCTGAATGGTAGGAATAGACTAGGAATGGGGATTGCGCATACTGTGGCAGGGCTTTCAATCCCTTTCCCAAGGAAAAGGTCAAAATAGTTGAAGAAGAATTTTTGTATAGTTATCTCACATTTCTGCTGACCTTATTATTTGTCTAAAAAGAGAAAGAATCACGTTTCTCTTCTTTTCTTTTATTTAAGAAATCAATTGTTTGCAATACTTTTATATAAAAAACAATAAAATGATGAATAAAAATTCACTCAATTAGTTACTTGAAGATTGGTCATTTTAGTTTATGGTCCTTTGAACAACTAGATATTTCAAATTATATTCACGCAATAGAGTGACTATCCTCTACAACATTAAAGGATTTCTAAGAATGGCCAAACAAACCTACAACTTTTGATTGACCTTGGACGAAGATATTGTTGTTTTGATGTCCTTCGGGTAATATTTTGGGAACGACAGTGTGAATTAATATTTGATTATTCACATGTTTTAATTTGTAACAATAATATAAAGTTTCATGATCATATATGATGTCATAAATTGTATACTTGATTGTTCAAGTATAGTGAGACAAATTTTGTGACGTGATCAAAATGTATCGTTCTCAATCGGTATATAAAGTTGGACGCTTTATTTTGATAAGATTGAATTGTTCTTACTGAAATTTGTCTAGATTTTGAAAATAAGAATAATAATGTGTTTGGTGCACACTGAACGAGACAGTGTAGATGACTCATTTGTGACCGCTAGGAATGAGACTATACTCAATCGTCGAGCAAGTCACCCAAATCTTGAGCATGTAATGTACATTTAATTACTAGTTCAAGTTCTTTGAGGCACAAATGTGTGAGGTTTAATTAGAAGATAGATTTCGGTGTTTTGAAAATTAGGGCAAAACACTTAGAGATCATATACTTGCAATAATAGAATCCTTTAATCATTATGATAAGACGATCGTCACTTTGATGCATTTTCTATAGGCATTCGAATTTGAGCTTAGTAGTCGGATGATAGGATCATTGGACTCTATTTTGTGATTAGTTCACAATGTATTTGCATTTTGAAAATGGAATTTAGAGTGCAATACATGTTGAAAGGGCAAAACGATATTTTTGTCGATTTCAACATATTGACGAGCAATGGGGGTTGACTTATGGAATGATGATCGGAGGATATTGTTATCGGATCATAATTTGCATCCATAATTATCATTCGACTCGAGAGTGCAATTTCGAATTTTTAGTAGAATAAGTCGGGTTTAATAGATTAATCTTAATTGGTTGGAGTTGACCT